CGGCGTCCAGTGCCCCTTGCTCATTGCGTACGGCCTTCTTGAAGCCATGCCTGACAACACCTAACCACAGTGTCTACACTTCTTTGCACTCTAACTGCAATTGCCCGAAAAGAAGGTCCAGCTTCCCGAAGTCCCACTATACGGCCCCTATCAAACTCACTAAGTTGACGAAATCGTACAGGTCTCCGTACTCTAGGCATCGTAACCGATCGTAAAGGATGTCAAGAACCAAAATCCGCCAACGTTGATTCTTTACTGCGGCTGAAATATTCATTTTTAGAGCGTTAGTGAATTAAAAAAAGCAGTATAAAAACCGGAATATCCAACTGATAAGGCTGAAAATTTTTTCACTGGTTATTTACAGTAAGATAAATACATTCACCAACTTTTATTAAAATAAAACCATTTAAACTGGGTGTTCGGATTTATATGACACTTAGTATACATTGAATACAATGAAACAAAGTTACGACAAAATATATACAAAGTCCTTAACAGAATAATAGCTTTTGTCTACAAAAAATGCTTTCACACGTGTTTTAAAAGACTTAGTAGAAACTAAGGTTTTGATATCATTAGGTAGATGATTGTATACGGCGGCACACATATACTCAGGGCTTTTACGATAAGCGGTTAGATTGTAATTAGGAATACATATGTCTTTATTGTTGGGAAGGTTGTATTTTTGCTGGTCCTCAATGTATGTAAACTTATTATAATTGTTTTTTACAAATAAGCAAGCCTCAAGTATAAAAACACTGGGAAATGTCAACAGATGATTTGATTTAAAGGTCGTGCTACAAATCTGTAGTACTAGTGGGGAGACGAAGCTTGGCAAATAAGTAGGATTTGGCCTTTTTGCCGATCCCGAATGTACCAACGCTCTACACTCTACTCCATAGTTAGTTCACTAATCTGTCAAAGCTTACTGATATCTAAATAAAGGTCAAGATCTTTGACCATTCCACTGATCAACTTCACCTTCAAACTTCAAGGCACTGAATATCTCGGTCCTTAGACTGCAATATACGTGGCAATATCACAGAAAGCGACATGGGGCAAGTTGGATCTTTCGTCACCGTTAAAAGGGATAAGTGTCTGATTAGTCTGCAGTGTCCGGTAAGAACCAACACCAAAACGGCCCGTCTGCAGTCATCTATCTATCACCACAGTATTCCCAGGTCCCTATACACTCAATCATTCAGCGCGGTATTGATCTGGCCCCTGCTTAGGCTCAACCCTGGCTCTGGACCGATGCAAGTGCCTTCGGCTCCAAGCTCCTCCCCTCTGAGTATGCCACCACTAAGGTAACAAATATCTCTGCCGGAAAGATCGTTGTGCAAGTTCCAAGTGCGTAAATTTCGTGCACGCCTTTGCCTCCAAATATACTCCCGCCCCACTGGATCCTGTTTCCTTGGGAAAGGATCCGTCAGTGGAACATACAAGGAACTGAGGCCAGAATGTTACTTCTCCATGTACCCATTCTTCCTTCGACGAGATGACGAGTGAGAATCCTAAGTTCGATTTTATGGTGTTCGGGATGCCAAGATACTTCCTGGGCAACGTTAAGACCAGTTTTCAATCCATTGTTAGACAAGTAGGATATGACCAAACTTCCAATCGCTTAGGGAAATAACGGAGTCAAAGGAAATATAAAAGGATGGAAGCTAGCTACGCAGAATCTTTCTTGCCAGTAACCGGCTGACGGTCTTAAAAAATAGTTTATAGTGGCGAATAGTATATACTAGAAATGAAGATTCGTTCTTATATCAAGTACGAAACTATATAGAAAGCTTTAAATTCCACTCATATGGAAACTACCTTATTAGGAAGCTTTTTACTCTCACCAGAGCGCAGTCCATCTGCCCGGTTAATGAATATTCCCCATACCAAATGTTGTTCTGTATCGATGGAAGGAAAGAAAAGAAAGCTGCTGCTCAGCAATGGTGGCCATCGCAGGACTGCTGCATAACAACAAGATTTATATTGGCCATGCATTAAAAAATCATATAATTTATGGTAAAACTGGAGCCCGTCGCTTGGTCTATAAATATTGAACGAACTCGGGTCCGAAGCAGAAATATTAATAGGATATGGGACGGCAACGCGCATGAAGCAAAAAACAGATGAATACGCAATCGCACTGTTAAACTTATACTTGATTTGTAATTGCAAATTAGCTTCCAATACCCCAAGACTGTGGTTCTTTCAGAACTAGAGTGATATTTTGAGCTCTAACTATACAAACAGGCAGCAGCGGTGGCGTAGTGGTAGACGTTATGGGTCTACTAATCAGTCGCCGGGTTCGAATCCCGCCCCAAGATGATTTTTCGTTTCTCTATGGATGTTGTGATTGGCCGTAGTTCGTATTAGGTCTTTGACTGTCTAGCGCGAAGGTACCACCCGGCGGATCTCTAAGGTGGGGCCAGAATTTGGGGATATCGCATGCGTCTTTCCTCGCTATCCATAGGTATATAGGTCCTAGACCTTCATGGTGGTTCAAGTATAAAAAATAGCGTATAGCTATAGTTACTTCTGAATTAGATGCCCATAGGCTGGAAAACAAAAGAGATCACTTCAGATTTAGTTGTGAAAAAACATATTCATGTATATTCAAAGACTTTGAAGTACTGGTGAAGGTCGTACAGCAGAATTTTAATGCATGCAAAAATTGTTTAATTATATGTTTAATTTTATGAAAAAATAATAATAAGTGAAATTGAAATGTTGGCCAAGAGTTAAAGCTGTAGTAATTTGAATATAGAAAATAATTCTAAGATATTCATAAATATCTAAAAACTCTAGTTTCTCCTTTCCAAGAAAAAGGTTTTTTGCAACTGAGCTGCTGCTGCAAATTGAACATTGAGTTCTAATAGTACCATATTTAATTTATTCTTCCACAAAATAAGCCTTTACTCTTACATATACAACAGCTATGCTGAATAACGTAAGCTGCAGCGTGAACGTAGCTAGAGGCTGCCCTCAGGGTGGAGTTCTGTCACCCCTACTGTGGTGTATCGTGGTGAACGAACTGCTCGTTAGGCTCAACAGTATGGGTGTCTACGTGCAAGCCTATGCTGATGACGTAAGCATAGTGGTTAGGGGGCGTTTCTGTAGAACAGTCTCGGAAATTATGCAGGGCGCTCTGCGCTCCGTGGAATCGTGGTGTAGGGAAGTCGATCTTTCTGTTAATGCTGAAAAGACCGAGCTGATCCTATTCACTAGGAGAAGAAGGCTTGACGGACTGGTCATGCCTACCTTCTTTGGGACTAGATTAGTTTTGTCCCAGTCAGTGAAATATCTGGGAATTATCCTGGACTGCAAACTGAACTGGAGAGAGCATGTGGAACACAAGGTTAGCAAGGCTCGCAATTCGATGTGGGCTTGTAGACGTGTTGTCGGTGTAAGGTGGGGGCTTAAACCCAAAGTGGTATACTGGCTCTACACGACGATAGTACGTCCATCTCTCTTGTACGGCTCCCTGGTCTGGTGGCCTTGCATTAGAACTGAGTCAACTAAGGCCAAACTCAATAAAATTCAGCGTTTGGCCTGTATTAGCATTACAAGCGCAGTGCGAACAACGCCATTGAGTGCAATGGAAGCTCTGTTGGATCTCCCACCGTTGGATCTGGTGATCCGCGGTGAAGCGAGAGTAGTCGCTCATCGACTGTGGAGTCAGGGCAGCTGGGCTTTCTTGAATCCGGTCAAGGGGCATACTGCCATATTAGTCGAATTAGATAGGGAGGACCCCGTCCTTCTAAGCAGGGGTGATCGTATTACCCCTAAATATCGCTTCAACCGCAAGTTCATTGTGGAGTACCCAACGAGGGAGGAGTGGGACGCCGGTAGCCGAGGACTCTCCGAAGTGAGCGGGCAGGTCTGGTACACGGACGGCTCGGTCACCGAAGAGGGCTCAGGTGCTGGGGTCTCTGGACCTAGAACTAGGCTATCTCTGCCTCTCGGTGAGTACACCACCATTTTCCAGGCGGAAATCTTTGCGATTCTGGCTTGTGTATCTCACATTCTGGAGGAGGGTGGGCCTAGGAGAAGAATAACAATCTTATCCGACAGCCAGGCTGCAATGAAAGCACTAAGTGCATGTAAGATTACTTCGAGTCTTGTATTGCAATGCAGGGAGGCTCTGGATTGCCTCGCAGCGAGGCATCCGGTATCGTTAATATGGGTACCGGGGCACGCTGGGATAAGGGGCAATGAGACGGCGGACACTCTGGCGAAAACAGGATCAGCCAGCAAGCTCGTTGGTCCTGAGCCAGCTCTAGGAGTAACCGCGCATAAAGCTAGGAGGAAAATGGAGACGTGGGTTGCAAGACAACACTCTCAGAAATGGAGAAGTATCTCTAGACATCTCCGCCAGGCACGAGAGCTCATTGAAGGGCCCAGTGCTAAGGATGGACGCTTCTGCCTATCTCTGGGTAGAGCCAACCTAAGGTTGCTGGTGGGACTGTTGTCTGGCCATAACACGTTAAGGCGGCACCTGCACGTGATGGGGGTGGCTGAGGATCCCTTATGCGAACGCTGCGGAGTAGAGGAAGAGACCTCGGCGCACGTTTTGTGTCGCTGTGAAGCTCTGAGCTACTATAGGCAGACTATACTGGGGTCCATTACTTTGGACCCTCAGGACGTAAAGGAGCTTGGACTCAAGGCGATTCTCAACTTCGCTAAAAGGGCGAGGCTTGTGATTTAAGTATTGTAGAGGTGCATAAGGGCCCGCTTAAGCGGCCTATGCACTGGCTCCTTATGGTGGCCGGGATGCCTCTAAAATTCAAGATTCATTCATTCTTACATATACAGTAGCGACTCGATAATCCGGATCAATAAAACAAGTTCTTGATATTACAAACATGTTTATTTCATAAAAACTGAAACATAAATTATCTACATAGCTAAAATAAGCAAACAACAAAATAAAAAAGTAACAAAAAATTTATTTATTAAAAAAATCAGTTATTTTTGTTTGCCTTTTATGTTCAGGATGCAACTTAATAACAGCTTCTTCTCTTAAGTCTTTTAAGGCAAGGATTGAGGTATGTGCAATATTGTTGTCTTCTGCCCATTTCAATCCCTGCCGTAAAATGCGCAATTGCCTCTTCATGTTTAACTTTTAGAACAGTAAATTGGTTTCCATTTTGTGTTTCTACGTCACTTAGTGAATTTTCAGAATGGTCATCTTGAAATTCGTCTTGAAGGGTATGCTCTTCAGTTTCTTCCACCCACTCCAATATTTCCCTTTCTGTAAATTGTTCAGAAGATGTTTTTTCTAACATTGTTGGAATGTCCTCAATAGTCTCCATTTCTCCATTTCCTGCTTTATTTGTACGCGCAGTAAGCTTAATGGTATTAAATCTTCCGGGTCATAATCTAAGTTCTCAGCTAACAACTTTTTCCATCACTGTTCTAAAGCAGTTGTTGACTCTTTTGTTCATGCATTATGTAATAAGCAAACTGCGTCTTTTAGAATCAAGTTTTTTAAAGATTTACTAAGCTTATCGTTTTCTTGCAGAAAATGTGAGCCAATAAACTTTTTATATAAAATAATTTGATTAATCTTATTGCATTTTGGTCTAACGGCTGAATCAATGCGGTTTAGTTGGGCGGTAAAAACATTGTGATTATTTTACCATCTTCAGAAACCAATTCCTTTTCACTGCAATGGCTAGGTGCGTTATCAACGAGAAGTAAAGCTTTTTCGGGAATGTCTCTTTTTTTTCATGAATTCCGGAACTTGCTTGCAAAATGATTTATGAAACCACTCTTTAAATAAATAAGAAGTCATTCATGCATTTTTACTAGACGTATACTCCACCGGTAAACTCGTGCCTCTGTTTTTAAACAGCCTTGGATTTCTAGATTTGCCGATTACCAAAAGTTTCAATTTGTGCTAACCATTTCCATTTGTACACGCCAGAAAAGTTATTGTCTCCTTACTTGTTTTTCGGCCTGGAGCTGATGTTTTCTTTAAGTGGGCTAATATTCGTTGCGGTATCAATTTCCAAAACAAGCATTATAGATTTGGCTTGAAGATCGCCCTTTTTCTTGTATGATCCCAGTTAACTGTTGTATAAAAGGTTTAACAGCAGATTTATCGTTAGAAAGATTTTGGCCGCATATTTGAAGATGTCTGACGTGCCTTGAATTTCAAGAGCCAACCCCTGCTCGCTTCAAATGTATCTTTATTGTACCTTTTTTTAAAAAATATTTTGCTTTTTCTGCTAGAATATCGTAGCTTACTGGTATGTGCCGATCACGCTGTTGCAGCAACCACTCGTAAAGTTTTACATTTCAGGATGTTCAGCAGACCGTAAAGATTTTCTGCTACCTGGACCAGAAATGCATTTCTTCATTAAACTAAAATTTTAAATGCATTAAATATAAAAACATTTTTTTCAAAATTGTATAACTCTTACGCATCTATCTTGCCTCTGCTTTTCTTAATATCTGATATGGTGAATGTTCCCACTCCATACATTGCAGCTAACTTTTTACCACTATCACCTCGTTTTAGTTGATCTGAAATTTCAGCCTTCTGTTTTCGTGTAGGAACCATGGCGTTTGTTGTTGAATGACTGACCCGTGGAAAGGTTCTGCTTTATTTGCGTCCCGGACGCGTCGTTCATGGTGTGATATTTAACAAGATTGAACTTGTTAAGTACTTAATATCTGATCCGGACTAGCGAAACATGACAATCCGGATTACAGAGTCTGCGAGACCGGTCCGAATTATTGGAACGGATTATAGCAATAAGGATTATCGAGTCGCTACTGTACCTGAAATTAGTGCTTTGATCCCAATTTTCCGAATGTCTAATTATTTAAAAACGTTTTTTGCTGGACGTCTAGCCAACAATTTAAACCTAAGATCCAACTTTATTAAGATTTTAATTGCAGAACATTTCAAATATGACATATTTTTGGATGTTGCATCTATGACATCTACCTACCTCTTGAAAAAACAAGTTTCTCATTTTCATGAAGCCACTATACCACGTTGAAGATAAAGAACAGTTTTTATTTACTATTGGGAAGTATTGTAATCGCAAAAAATTTCGAAAATGAGATATGTTTTCTGGATGTACGTATATATGTCATCTACATCACGTATCATGTCACTCATTTTCATCGGTCTTTCCGTCTTGGAAAATGTCGCCTAGATGTTGATGAAATTTTCACACAAGGTTAAACTATGCCAAGGATGAAAAAGCTTCGTAGTTTTTGAAAATAGATTCAGTAGAGACAGTGCTAAAGAAAAAAATAAAAATTGCCTTAAAATAGTTTTCTAGCGATTCCTGAACATTAAAAAAAATTCCTGGGGTTGAAAATTGAAGGTTAAGATTGCAGGGTGGGGGATGGTATATCAAAATTTTTCAGTAGTTAGTATATTTTATATAATAAATATTTCCCCGTACATTTGCCATTTATGTTAGAGAAACATCTTCCACAAACGTCTCTGCTCTCTGGCTTCACTGGCGGTGAGTTATCGGAACGCCAGTAGAGCAGGGAGAAATATCTATGGCTTAATTGTATGGGTCTGTTTGATTGACTTGATCCGTTCAATTTCTCTGTTTTAGATGCTTGTAGCTATTTTTTTTTTCAAAGGGTCTCACTTGTGAGCGACATAATGCTTTATGAACTGATAACAGCGTTTTGTAACAAGTGCGGGGTCAACCTTCTTGTCGCCATTTTTTTTTTAATTTGTGGTACAGGTAGGATTTCAATGAGATATCACAAAACATGTATCTAGTTTTCATTATCAATGTCTTTGGAGATTACTTGAGTTTACAGAACGTATTTGAAATGATGATGGATCACCAGCTCAGCATGCCGAGCACATCGTCAGAATTGATAAAATTTCAGCTAAAATGGAAATAAACATATTTTCTCTTCTTGCTATAGGTTTCTGATGCAAATGTACGGCTAATTTTCCATTACGCCATGATTTATGAGAACATTTTCACAAGGGATTAGCATACACTTGAATATTAATTGTTCTATGATTGAAGGCAGTTTCTTCTAAATAGTTCGATATACCAGAAACAAATACATAAGTTCCAGCATTTCAAACTATCAGACATAGGCAAATAACTTTCTTGGTCACACAACCTTTTTTGGGATAGCAGAATCCTTTGGAATTCACCATACTCATTTGCTTGGACTTAAGTTTCAACTGTTCTTGTCTTGGTTGGAATATTCTAGTCTTGATGTTAACCATAAACATTATAAGTTTCAGCTAACTGCCGCCAAATCTTGTTTACATGTTTAAAAGCACACATCCGTTTATGATAACGTATGTCCGTAAGTGTTGGCACAAAATTCATTTCATTCAAATGATGATGGATCCCTCGAGCACCAAGAACTCCGGACGTAAACTCACTCCACTCTCGGAATGTCCAGGTGGAGGGTGGGCTCGAGGTAACAACATCGACGATAAAATTTGTCTTTCGAACATCTGCGGGATTAACAGCAACACTGATGCTGTTCATCACTACCTGCAATCCAATCGTCCCGCCGTGCTTTTCTTGGCGGAGACAAAAATCTCAGAGTCTGCACCGATTAAACATCTTAATTTCCCAAGCTACGAGGTGCACTCCAATCTGAGGAAGAACGGGGGAGTTGTGGCTTTTGTCCGCAGCAGTCTTTCGTGCTCCAGAGATATGTCTTTGGAATCAGACCAGAAGGACATTCTGTGGCTTCGCCTCAACTCCAAAACATCACCCAAATTTATTTGCTGCCTTTATCGCTCTCCCTCGGATCATAACTGGGATGACCTAGTCGAATACCCCGCCGTCCAGATCGACTTCCTGAACATCAATCACCCCGCTTCAGAGGTAGATCTTCTCGGTGATTTCAATGCCCATAATGAGCTTTGGTTGGGCTCAAATAAGACCAATGCAGCAGGTCGTGCAGTCGAAGCGTTCGCTCGTACTCAAGGGCTGACTCAGCTGGTGACGAGCCCTACTTTTTTCCCCCGCGTCTCGTCACACGACAGTAGCCTGCTGGATCTCTTTCTGACCACGCATCCTGTCGCTTACAGCACTGCTGCCCTGTCCCCCCTGGGTATCTTAGACCACGGTGTTGTGGAGGTTAGGTTTCGCTCAGAACCCGCTGTGGCAGCAGAAACTCGTACAGGCCGCAAAACTTGGCATTACGGACATGCCGACTGGGAGGGGCTCAGAGACTTCTTCTCTAGCTTTCCTTGGAAATATGTCTGTTTCACTGCCGCGGATGCGTCAGCTGTCTGTTCTTCGATAACCGAAGTTATCCACGTCGGAATGGAGGAATACATCCCTCACACAGTGAAAATGCCTAGACCAGGGTCCAACGGCTGGTTTAACAAATCGTGTGACGCTGCTCGCCAGCAGAAGTTCAAGACACACAGAACCTTCTTGCAAAACCCCACTGTAGAAAACAGACAAGCCGACGTCGAGTCCAGAAACAAATATAAAGGAGGGGTGCGCTATGCCAAAAACCAGCACGATATAAAAGTTAGGCACAGGGTAATGTCGCAGCGCAATGACAGTCGGTCTTTCTGGACGCTGGCCAAGCAGATTGAAAAGAACTTCTCACACAGTAGCCTTCCGCCACTTACGTATCAGGATGGAACTATTGTATTCAACTCAAAGGCCAAGGCGGAAGTGCTAGCCAAGATCTTTGCTGCCGACTCCACCATGGATGTCCCCTTCAACCACCAGGTGCCGTCAATTCAAACGGTTCCCTACACTATGCGGGAGATAACATTCAGGCATAAGACCGTAAAACGAGTGCTCTTGTTGCTCGATATCAACAAAGCTTCTGGTCCGGACTTGATTCCTGCCATTGTACTGAAGAGGTGTGCAGCAGAGCTTGCTCCAGTTCTTTCGCGTCTCTTCCAGATATCTTATGAATCCGGCACCTTCCCAGAAAACTGGAAATTTGCTCATATCCAACACATCTCGAAAAAGGGATCTAAGACCGACCCTTACAACTACAGGCCTATAGCTCTGCTTTCTGTTTTAAGTAAGGTGATGGAGAGGTGCATAAATCGCGAGCTTCTGGACTACGTCGAACGTCACAGCTTGATTAGCGACAGGCAGTATGGTTTCCAGCACCAACGATCCACAGGGGAAAACCTAGCTTACGTCACTCAATTGTGGAGTAAACTTATCCAGTCTTATGGTGAGGCTCATGTCGTTGCTCTTGACATCACGAAAGCATTCGATCAGCTGTGGCACGCTGCCCTCTTAAGCAAACATCCATCCTATGGCCTCCCAGAAAGGCTTTGCAGATGGATGTCTGACTTTATCTCTGGCCGCAAGAT